TGACTAGGTCGGTGGCGCGCGCGATGATGTCGAGGAGGCCGAGCGAGCAGCCGATGTGCGGTTGGTAGGTGGTTTTGTTGGCCGTGTCGTGGAGGTAGATGTCCCAGGGGAAGATATCGGGGGGAAGGTGGGAGGTGGTGGTGGTTGTTGCTGGTGGTGCTTTGAGGATGGAGTGGTTGTGGTCTGGCAGGGTGGTGGTGGTGGTGGTGGTGGTGGTAGTCTGATGCCGCGGTGGGTTGCAGCCTGTGGTGCGGAAGAAGAGGGCCCGGGACTGGAAATAGCTCTGGGTGAAGAAGAAGATCTCCGGGTCGATGGCCGAGCCGTAGCTGTTGATGATGGCGAAGGCGCCTTGCGCGTGGCGCACCCAGTCCGGGCGACAGCCGCAGGCGATCTCGAGGGAGCATAGAATCAGACACGTCATGAGGGCCTCGTTGACGTCCTCCATCTGCGCGAGGGACTCGCGGAGGAGCTGCAGGGCGAGGGACTTGTAGGAGAGGGAGAGTTGGGCGTAGTTGATGGTGGTCGTCGTCACCGACTCTTCTGCTCGGCGGTCGTTCGCGCTCATCGAGAGCACGGCGTACCAGAGGGGCTTGCGGCGCGCGCAGAAGGGGATGACCAGCGAGCGGAATTTGTTGCGCGGCTCGTCCTGGAAGACTCGAACTTTGCATATGACCTGTAGATCTGTGGTTGCGAGCTTTCAGTCTTTGGTCGTTTGGGACGGGGGGCAGCTTGCTTACAGTATTGAAACAACTGGGTCTCTAGCTCGCTGCAGTCTATCAGGAGAGCTGTGAAGGGCGAAGGTCCCGTGTTGAGTCTGGTTGGGCAATCGTCGGGTTGATTGTCGCGCTCTATACTTTGCTTCGAGGACGGTGTCGGAAGATGGTGATACTGTTCGCATAATAAGACATCTGCGTCATGGTAGGATACGCTGAGAAATTGCCAACGGTTTCGTCGTTTCGGAGAGGATCGGTGTCCTTTGCCTGTGGGAGAATTGTTACTGCTGCTCGGTAGTTCACGGGGATGGCCGGTGCGCATACCGAGTGAGATCTTGAACCGCAATGGCGCTGGTTGCGACGTTTCGAATAGATAAGAGCAATCAAATCCTCGGACCTCACAGTTTCTACATGCAGGTCTCTCCTCTGTGGTCGTGTGAGCAAGCGCAAGGGTGAATGAGGGACGGGATCGAGCACCGACCTCCGCAACGGCGTTTCCGCTCTGTAGATGAGGGGACAGGTTAGTAGAGGAAACAATGGGAAGAGGCTCATTGGGATAGCAGGGATCCGTACTCTTGCAATTCAAACAGCCGGTTCGACTTCTGACACTCATGATTCTGTTCGTTTGAGGACGATTTGAAAGGGGATAAGTTGGAATAAGCAGAAAGCAAGAAGAGAGAAGCAGGAAGGAGAGTTGTTGATGCGGTCTTCGGCTGCTCGTGGCAAAATGCGGGGCGGAATCTCTTGGTTTCTCGCGCTGTCCTTCTGCTTCATGCGGGGTCTCAAGGTATTCAACACTGGCAAGATGAAAGACACTGGAATGCAGGCAACAAGAGACATTCTCACTTCCACTCCTTCTTCTTCTTCTTCATCATCTTCTTCACCACTCACTTCACTTGGCGCTTGCGACATTGCTGCACCAACATCGAACCATTACCCTTATCTTATCTCTGACTGAGGTGGATTGACTCTCTTATCAGCTCGATTGAATGCACGACTTATGCAAGAATTGTGCGGGGAAACCGGCCTCTATCAGTGATGTCCTCGAGTGTTCACCGGTATCGACAGTGTCACTCTCGCAGCGAGTGACTCCTGCTCTTGTCCAGAGGCGGTCCATACTTCGAAGAGAGCTCGTCTGAGCCACCGGGTCGATGCCATATGACCATGACTGCGATATGCGATACTTCAATCATGCCTTTCTGACCTCCGAGACTACAGTACAGTACATACCACTAGCTGGGGCTACTATGCTCCCCAATAGAGTCCTCTCGGTTCTACCCCTCAAGCTCCCACTGACGGGTTGCAGCGCCGAGTCCTAATCAGTAGTCGACTGCCCATCGGCTCTTCCTCCGATGATAACCCTGCAGCTGGGACGTGTTTCAATGCCGTACCGTATCAGACTTGTCTCCAGTACGGTCGATCCAGGGCATGTCACGAGTAGTCAGTGCCTGCCTGGCCATGGGTGAGACAATCCGCCGCTCAACGTGCAGCAAGCCCTCGCTCACGGGGTCTGATAGCTTAGCAACAGATGGGATTGAGATTATCATTCCTCCATCCTTATCAGTCCTAGTCGCTGCAAGCATATCATGTACCCCGCAAACCCTACAAGAGGGCTATAAAGATGGCTGTAGCACGAGGAGAGGCTGTCTTCACATCATCAGTCCTCTCTACCATCGTTGACTACCTCGAGCAATGTCTGCCTCCTTAAGGGCAACCTCCAGCCTAGGCACCACAGGCATTGCCGCATTCCGAGCTCCTTTGGTCCTCCGACATCAGCGATATGTCTCAACGCGGTCGTCCATAAGCGGAGATAGCGTTGCCCCCGTGGTGGCCAACTCGCCGGCCGAGGTCAAGAGGGCCGCAGCGTCTGCCTCTGCCCACTCAGTCGTCCCCACGGGCGTGCTGCTGCGGTCCCTCCTGGTGACGACCGTCTCCTCCCACCCGCTCCTCTTAGGGCCCAGCCTGTCCATCCTATCCTTTCTCTCCAAGTCCCGCAGCCTTCTACTGGATGTGGAGCGAAATCCACTCATCTACTGGTTTCTACGAAAGACTTTCTACGACCACTTCTGTGCGGGGGAGAAGGAATCCGAGGTGCACAGAACCATCCAGCAAATCAAAAGCACGGGAGTGAAGGGAGTGATCTTGACCTACACGCGGGAGACGGTGCAGGACTCCCGCACGGAGGAGCAACGGTTTGCCAATGCAAATGCCTTGGAAAAGGCTGCGTCGACAGATGCCTGCGAGCATATCCAAGCGTGGAGGGAAGATGTCCTCCGCACGGTGGACATGCTTGGCCCGGGAGACTTCCTTGCCCCGAAGTGAGTCTTCCAGAAGCGGCATTGCTATATAACACAAAGTACTAACAAGGAATCAGACTCACGGGTGCCGGCCCCAAGGTGACGCGGGCCTTTGCCGCTGGGCAGCCCGTCCCCGCACAGATGGTCGAAGCACTGGACGAAGTGTGCCGGCGCGTGGTGGAGAAGAAAGCCCGCCTGCTGATGGATGCGGAGCAACACGCCTTCCTGGGGGGCATCCACAGCCTGACGATCGACATGATGCGCAAGTACAATCGTAGCGGAAAAGCGGTCATCTACAACACCTTCCAAGCCTACCTCAAAGCCGCCCCGGAGCTGATCGCCGCGCACCTGAAGCTCGCCAACGCAGAGGGCTTCACCCTGGGGTTGAAGCTCGTCCGCGGCGCCTACATGAGCAGCGACCCGAGACACCTGATCCACGACACGAAGGAGGACACCGACCGGGCGTACGACACGATCGTGCGGGGGATCCTGCAGCAGAACTACCAGGGGTTCGGGGCGTCCCCAAGCTGCCCGTTCCCCGCCACCGACCTGTTCTTGGCCACGCACAATATCGAGAGCGCGGTGGCGGCGCACAACCTGCACGAGGCGCGCGTCCGGGCCAACCTCCCGACGTGCAAGGTCGAGTTCGGGCAGCTGATGGGGATGGCGGACGGGGTGACCTATGGCCTGCTGCAGCTCACGGGCGAGAACCAGGTGAACCGGGCGCCACCCCCGGCCGTCTACAAGTGCTTGCACTGGGGCAGTATGCGGGAGTGTCTGAGTTTCCTGCTGCGGCGAGCGGCGGAGAATCGCGATGCGGTGGCCAGGACGATGACCGAGCACGAGGCGCTCAAGGCGGAGGTGAAGCGGCGGATCCGGGCTGGGCTCGGTCGATCTTGATTAGCTATCTACATGGAGCATTATCAAATAGAATGAAATAACGATTATGATTGCCTATCTTATGCAGTATCTCCACATTCCTGGGATAAGATTGCCTTTGCGAGACATCGATGCGGGGAAGGAGGAGTTATACGTGATGTCTGTATACTTCGATCTTCAATACCTTCGGATACACACTCCGTAATGCAGCCGTACTGCAGCGGTAAGGACTACTAGTGGATACCCGCAACAGCGGTTAGCCTTGCCGCTCCGTCCTTCCCTTCGGGTCTGCATCCGTACAGTCTAGATCTATAGAACAGCAACTTTTGACCATCGCCCATGGCGAACTCCACAAACAATCCAGATAGCAACCCCCCCCTCCCACGACAAACAGACCACCTCCAACCCAGCCCTGCCCCAAGGTCTTATTGCTCCCCGACAATCATCCCTGGAAGATCTACCAGCGCCTCCCAATCCGGACCCCCCGCGCAACGCCTTCGCTCAAACCTGTTACCAAGCATGCCCTCCCCAAGACAGATCTACATCTCCGGCATCGCCAGGCAACCAGAGGCCAAGAGCTGATTTGAGCCCCATACCGTAATCAGAAGGCCGCGTGCAGCAAGTGCTTCCAGTTCCTCGCAGATAGCAGATATGTTGGCGCGGACACCATTACCGCTACTATTACCGCCACCACCACGAACCACACCAGCTACAATAGAAGATTGACCGGCTCTCCTAGGATGATCCAGACCAGGCATTCATCCAAGCTAGAGATTATTTATCTTATACGCGATTGAAGCTCGAGGATTAGCCGCAGAGCAATAATAGGTCTACCGCATCGAGGAGAGTCAATTCCCACCGCATCAGTGATAAATGAAGATAGCGGGTCCATTCAGTAGATAGTCACATCCGTGTCACGGAGCCATGATTCCGCACGGCTCAAAATAGTTACACTCGATCAGATCGCACATAGGACCTTCAAATCGACACTCTCCCTTCGAACCATCATACCGTACTTCCATCCACACCCCAAAAATCCACCCGAAACCCCAAAGCCAAAGCCCCAAGGAACCTACCGCGTCCCATTGACAAACCCCTCGCCCCCCTCCGCCAGCCTCCCCATCAACCCCGCCACCGAAACCGCCTCCCTCATCCCCCGGGCCACCGTACCCCTCAACCCCCGCTCCTCCAACACCATCAACCCGCCCATCGTACAACCCCCCGGCGACGTCCCCTGATCCCTGAGTAGAGCAGGATGCAACCCGCCCTCCTGCATCAAGGCCGTCGCGCCCCGGAGGGCCTGCAGCACTGTAGTCCTCGCATCCGCGCGCGGGAACCCCATCGCGACGGCGCCCTCGATCAGCGCGTCGGCGAACACGGCCACGAACGCCGGCGTCGAGCCCCCCACCGCCGTGAAGGCGGTCATCTGGGCCGGCGGGATGAGCTGCGTCCGGCCCACGGCCGCGAAGATCGTCTGCGTGAGGGCGATGTCTGCGTCGGTGGGGTTGGGTCTGTCGACCCCGCTTGCGGAATCACCACCAGGGACAGGGGTGGCAAGCGGCGGCGGGGGCACTTCGATCGCGGTGATGCTCTGCCCGACGAGCGCGGCCATGTTGGGGAGGGTGCGGATGATCTGCAGATCGGGGGCGTCCGGCGCGAGGGCCAAGAGCGCGGCGCGCGTCCAGCCGGCGGCGATGCTGATGAGGAGTTTGCCGGAGAGGGCGGCGCGGAGGGCGCCGTCGGCGAAGAAGGTCGGGATGTCGGCGGGGTCGATGCAGAGGAGGACTGTGGTGGCTTTTTGGATCGCGGTCAGGTTGGCGTCGGGTCCGTGGAGAATGGTTACGCGGGGGGTGTTGGGGTTGGTTGGGGTCAGGTACGGGGTGAATTGGTTGGTGAGTTTGGTGTAGGAGGTCGTGCTGCGGGTGGTTGCGATGTAGGATTTGGGGAGTGGTGGGGTCGTGCTGGTGCTGGTGCTTGGGGTTGCGGTTTGGGCTTGGGTTTGTGCTTGTAGGAGGCCGTTGAGGATGGCTGTGCCCATGTTGCCTGCGTCGTGTTAGCTTTCTTGCCTTCGAGGAGCAGAAGGGGAAGGGGAAGGCTTTACCGCAGCCGATGATGCTGAGCGTTTGCTCGCTGGTTGCGTTGGAGGCCGACATTGTGTGCTGTGGTTATTTTAGAAGCAACAGCGAATTGACAAGCTGTACAATCCTAAATGCGAGTCTTGAGATGTTCTTGAGGACTGGCAGTAATTGTGGGAAAGTAGCGAAGTGTGCGGTTTATGCACGTGGATACTTGATATAGTTCGGTTTAAGAGGCTGTTCCTCACGGGAGCTGCTCCGAGCCCAGAGATTGCTGACTGAGCAAGCCAGAGCAATTCCGGGAGCCACTCCGAGTGGCTGCACAAAACTATCCCCTTGTGGTTGTAATACAACAGGAGGTGCACAGAAGATGATATTATTACATTCCCAGGCCGGTGGGGCATTATAACACTAAATAGATATAAGTTTGTTGGAAGAAAAAGTCACATAGATACATGAATAGCCAATAAGCCCACGACATGGAATTCAACATTGCGTGAGGCAAGGGAAATCGTGATATGAACACGCAGAATCAAGCATGGTTGTCCTGAACAGGACGCGGGCTCATCAGAAGTGACGAGTAGGATTTGGTGCAATTTGTTCACCGTATGGGCGTTCTGTTGGCATGTCTATGACGTGGTATGTGTTGCCAACAGTTGCACAAGAGGGTAGAGGCTATGTCCTTGTCATGGATTTGCCATGATGGTAGAGCTTATCGTGGCTGATGGCGTCAGTCCTGTCTAGTCAGGGTATACAGAGCAGGCCAGGTTCAAATGATCAGAGTACAGTAGCCATGTTCATGGCTTCGGTTGTTGCTCGAGGAGCTCAGCCTGAATGGCTGTTCCTTGTGAGCTTGTGGTTGTCGGTCTAATGGCCGAATCGATACTGGCACCTAAGGCAGTCGCCAGGTCGAAATTAGGCGCCCAGTCGCCCAGTTCGTCGTCTCAAGCAGCGAGCGCTGCGCCGAAGACGGGTTGAATATGTGGATCAGGGAGGCCAACTCAGAGAGACGGGTCGGTCTTCCATGTACCTATCAAAGTATTAGTCAGTCATCCTGTGACAAGTACGAAAAAGCAGTCGCAACTGACCTCCGAAGTTATGTTTGACGAATGCCATCGGGTCGTCGATATCTCCGGCGTTCATCTGATGCACACCCGGGCTGAAACTCGTAATGGGTAGTATCACCACGTCTCCCACCTTCTTGTACCCTTCCAGATTGGTAAAGTCCTCGTAGGTGACATTCAAGGTAGAACCAGGCTCGATGTTGAAGTACTCGGGATCATTGAAGTACCGGAAGACAGCATCGGTCCAGGCCCCCGGTCCCGTGAACTCCATGATCGTCTTGTCCATCTTGCCGACTTTCAAGATTCCCGCCTTCTTCATTCGCAGCGCTTCCTCCGTGATGTAGGTGACGATGTCCCGGAAGATCGGGTGGCCCGGTTTGGCCTGGATAGTCCACTGGCAGAACTGGATTCGGCGCGCATACCAGTCGTGCCAGTCGGGACGGTCTGGATCAGCCTCAATCCCGACGACAGCCCCGACGGTCGTCAGATCCAGCTCCGAAGGCAGCCAGTCCGACGCGGGCTTTAAAGCAGTCGTGTCAATGTCGCTGTAGATCCCGCCCCGCGCCAGAAGAATGAGATACCGGAAGAAGTCGGCCTTAAGGACGGGCAAAGGCATGGATTCGAAGGCCTCGTATACGTCCGGCACCGATCCATAAAGATACTTGATCAAATGTCGCAAGGTATCGTCGGGAATAACCTCATGAACAAACCCCGGGTGGAGCTCGGTCCAGCTGGCCTCGGGGTCACGCAGTTCCTCCGAAAAGAACATCGACTCGGGAGTGTACTTCCATGTCTGCCAGATGTATGCGGGGAATTTGCCGTCGAGATCGTAAGGGAAGTGATAGCGCAATCGATCGCGCAATGGGGCGCTCGGAGGAGGAGAGAGGGGTTGTTGCTTGTTACTGTCCGGCTTCTGCCTCTGGGGCTGGTCGTTCGTTGTTTGGCTATCGTCGTAGGCCTTCGCGGCGGAGGCGGGCACCGGCGGTGACACGGACGGGGAGGAATGCGAAGATCGGAAAAAGACGATGAAGGTGATTAGCAACACCGCCGCAAAAAGCGACTTGCGAAAGGTGAGCATCGTGGCGCAATTAGGGGGAAGGTATTGTTGTTGCAGTCGGCTTGATCTGGGCTACCGTGGACAGCTCCAGGAATCTCCCCCGAAGTTTTTTTTTAATTCCCACTTTCGTAGGCTTTCCCGATATAATGTCAATCTTGGTCCAAGGTCAATTAATGTCTCTTCCACGGGACTATCCCCGGTTGTGCATATCCGTAAGCCGTAAGCCGTAAATGTGCCAGCAAAAAGGGCTGTCGTCGTCAGAAAGGCGTCAGAGCGACCCGGTGCGGTGGATTGCGCGTTCGCTGAAAAGGCCGGCAGAGGACGATGAGTGAACTAGGGCTCTTGCAACCGTGCCATGGGGGCGGAAAGAAGATACGATATTTGAAAACAGACCGGTCAATCCAGACAGGCGTCGGTTGTACGACACCAGCGCGGGAAAATAGAGGAGAATTGTCTGGAGAGGGGAGGGAGTGAAGTTGTTTGGTGTTTGGTGTTGGTCGGTGGAGCCCGCGGATTCGGGAGTGACGACGGCCTTTTTGGTGGCGTCAAATTGTCAATTCTTCCCGATAAACATTCCTACTCATACTCCAGACATCGGCACATCCCACGCAACAGAGACGCGGCCAGCTGGCTCTTGGTCGCTTCTTATAGGTCTTTCTTCCTTGTGTCTTCGTGTCTTTTCACAAGGGGAGACAAGGTCCCTGCAACCTCAATCTCAACCTCAACCTTGGTGCTATCGACTTCTGCCTGTAACGGGAAGATGATCGTCCCCCCCCCCTCTCTCTCACGAACTACAGAGCTCGAGTACACAATTCTACCGTGCTTCATTCATGGAACAGGTCAAGTCGCCGGGTGTACCTGACTATCGAGCAGTTTGAGGTTGCAACACTCTCCTGTTTCTCCTGTTTCTCCTTGTTTCCCCACAGCACAATCAGTTTGCACCGCCGTTTTCGGCCCTACCGTCAGATCCCCCTGCGATCGCAAGGCTGTCCGCCGGACGTCCAGAGGCTCCAGACTCCAGACCACATTTTAAGGTTACGCTTGGGGTTTGAGTCAACGGAGGATATCTTCAGGCTCCTGGTGATGATCAACTATGGAACGTCTCTGATACGAGAGTGACAAGAATATCCCCGGTCGCATTGAACGTGGTGGAAGGCATACGGAAAGGGGTTGCGTCACCCTCCAGCAAGCCGCGTCATGGATCCGACTTGGCTTCGGCGCTTGTCTGGCCCTGCCCTTCGGCTGTAAAGGAAACAAGCCTTCAGCTGCAGCTGGTGTGTGAGTGTGTGATTGCTGGTTGTCACTCCCGCTTCCTTTTACCCCTTCTCCCCGCTTCATGTGCTTGGTATTTCCTCCATTCACAGCTATCTTCTATTCACAATCACCGACTCACAGACAATTGGCACTTGACCAAGGCTCAATTGCTTTAGTACTCAATAAGGAATCTCGCCAACGCGCTTGTCCTTCTACAACCCTCTCGAGTCTTAGAGTACCACAGGTCTTATTCTTGAGCCTGTCGATCTACAGCTGCAATTTACAGGACAATACTGCTTCCTATAATACACGTGGGGGCATTCTCGGCCCGGGAGTGGCTGAAGAAGGCTCCCAGACCCGATAATTACTGAAAGCGGTACATAGCTGTAACCACGGGAAAGCCTTTTACCAGATCTCGAAAGATAATGAACAACACTGGAACGTCAACCTGGATGAGAACCTCTCGATTATGGTTGCTTGAATGCTACGGTACCTGATCAGCGCCATTCGACAACGTCATTGACCTTGAGCACAAGACACTCCGTGCTATGTCCAAAGGTCCTTTCCCCCTAGCCCATGTTTCGAGTGTGATTGTCTCTACACTTGAGCCGGCTGTATACGGGAAAACAGTCAGTTTAGCACCATTTATTGATGATGGTCAATTGAGCGTAAGTGATGGACCATCAAGGATTGACCTATACTTCAGTAGTCAATAAGCATGTGCTTCCAGGCAGGCACAAATTCCTTCCTTATACAGAAGAAAAGACCTCATCATGATCCCGGTGGCGGCTGATCTAATCAATGCGCTCATCCTTTTGAGTCAAAGCGGATGCTTAACCCGCGGCTGCAAGAGGCGACTGGCTAACATGAAGTACTACTGAGTAGATCCTGGGGTCCAGAAGTGGCTGTTCGTTCCGGCCAACTGACGTCTTGGAAATGGTCAGCCAATTTCTTTCGCTATGCTGACGCCAATTTGCGTGCTTGCCTTAGATTACCATCCGCGCTGCGATTCTCTGTCTGAAACGGGACCCCGCGTTGCGAAACACCGTAGCCTTTTCTAATTAAAACTCCATCTGATTGTGCTATAACCCTGAATAGATCGGGTTCAGCTACCGTTGCATGCGCACATGAATGGTACCCTGGTACGATCGATCATACCCTCCGGCTAGCCGGGGCATGGTGAGAAACATCGGCGGACATGGAGACACAGCAGAGAACGAGAGGGATCTGGGGCCTGTTCAGGGCGCCCTCAGAGCCAAGCACCAGATCTACACAGCCTGAATCCGGCGCAGAGAAGGGTATATCTCTACTGAAGTCACCCGACAGTGCATCGTCGTCAGATTCCTCCGCTGGGGGCCCGAGACCCTGGACG